ATTGATTATTATTTTACTCTTAGCATTTGGGAGCCCCTCTAATCAGGGGGTCAAAATGTTTTTAAAAGATGAACATTAACTTTTAACTTAATGACAGGAAACTCTTAGGTGAGCATTCCATCAGCCGCTACATCTCCTACCTTCCAAGGAAGACTGTGTTGTGATTCCTTCTGGAACAACAGGACTAATACCAGATAAGTGGAGGCTGGGAGAAGGATAAACTTTACAGATTGGCTTGCAGGACAGAGGGCTAAGTGGTGCAAGCCAGACTGAGGATTGAGAGAGAGTGTTCCTGGGGCTGGGGATGAATTTCTGTGGTAAAGTGCCCTCCCTAGCAAGTGTTAGGTGCTGGTTCACTCTGGAAAAACAGCAATAATAAGTTGATAAATTATTGAGTCTCAAACAAGTCTGTATTGCCTTCTGCAAGCAGAATTGATCCTCTGGACATCCAGATGATGGGATGTGGCCCAGCTACATTATGAAGGCCAATCCCATTCACTCCAAGTTTACTGAATGGGGAGACTAAGTTTAGCAAGAAGGGGATGTGAACACCGATGCTTCCTTCTTTAGTCATGGGGTAGGACTGGATGCTTGCAGCTGGAGCACCCTAAAGGTGTTCTGGGAACTTTCTACAGAAAGAGCAGCTCTGCTGCTGTGATGTGCTCTCCTTCCTACTACAGATGTCTTCCCGGAAGAGGAATGAGCCTGAGGCTCACCAGCTCTGGGACTGCACAGGAATAATGACATGCAGACATGGTATTTCTTCCCAACAGTCACATCCTGTTACATTTCAAAATGAGATCTGAGGCAATTTGCAGAAAGGTCTCCATTCCCATCTTACTGGGAATAGTGAAGAAGAGACTTTCTGCAGATATCCACTAGTACCCCCCCATCTGTCTCATCTCCTCTCTGTCTCTGTCTCTCTCTCTCTCTCTCTCTCTCTCTCTCTCTCTCTCTCTCTCTCTCTCTCTCTCTCTCACACACACACACACACCTGTATCCATACTATTGATTCTTCTTGTCTGCCTAGCACACCCCTGTCTGCCCGTTACCTCATGCATGAATAAATTTTCTCATCAATATTTGTTCTTTTCTATGGATAGACATCCTTGTAAATGATCCTCTCTAGATACCCTTCCCCTCCACCAGTCTTACTTCATTTTTCTACCTTTTTCCTTTGTGACAAAACTTTTCAAAATGGCTTTCTAGGACTGGGAAGGTAGCT